GGATTGGAAACGAGCCGAGTTCACCAATGCTCCCCTTCCTTTGTTTCCTCCAGATTCTGCTCTAATATCTTCACATTTGCTGTCTTGACATGATCGATTTGGGCGTATACTGTCTGGGTCTGTTCTTTGACAAACTTGGCGCTGTTTTCTCGGGAGAGGACCAGATCTGCGTACACAAGACCGCGGTAGGGAGGGGGCATCTAGATCAAACATAGGAAATTAATAATATCTTATAGTCAATTCGCGAAACCAGTAACACTGTATAACGATATCAACCAAATTGGCTATACAAAACAAAACAAAACAATTAACAAAACAAAACAAAGCAAAACAAATACAAAACAAAAAACAAAACAAAACAAACAAATCAAAACAAAACAAACAAATCAAAACAAATACAAAAAAAAAAAGACAAAAAGAAAAAAAGGGAAGAATACGGACCGCAAAAGTTTACAAACGAATATGATAATATGATAAGCTTACAGGATCAGTCTTGCCCTGTTACGATTTCGCCTAAACTTTTGTTTTAGCCGTGATTTGTTTTTGATTTTATACATTTGTTTGTCTGCTAGTTTAGATATACATGTGCAGTTTTGAGAAGACCCTTTAGTTACCTCATAAAAACAAGTCCAGATAGACAAATGTGGTCTGAATTTGTGAAATGTATTATTACCTGTGGCGGTTTCTTCTTCTTGACTGTCTTGTCAACAGCTGTGTACAAGTACTCAGTGTTCCCACCAGTCTGAAGTGTCTCGCTCTCCGTAGCTGTGTCTCGCTCCCCTAAGCTGGCTGTGCCTTTTCTGTCTTTGTGAACAACAGCATAAACATGATCCTTGCTTTCTTCTTTTTCACTGCATAATATGGGTGGCTGCTTTATTCCTCTCTCGCCACTGACCAACGCTGTGTTGTCTCGTGCTTGTTCCTGAAAATCTGAATGCCCTCCACCCACTGACATTGACTTAGCCTTATCAATGTTATCAACCTGACATTCTTTTTGGCAGTCGCTAGCTGTTTCGTAGGTGGCCAACTCAGATTCCGTTCGTGAAAGGGTCAGGTGTACGGTAAGCTCAGCGGAGCTCTGTGTTTGATGAACAAGTACAGGATCATCGATCGATTGCCGTTCGGAGGTCGAAGGCATCTCCTTGGAGCAAGTTACACGATCTTTGTCTGAACATGGTCTACATCAGGGAGAAAATGAAAGGTAAGTCAGATCTTACACATTAAATTGCAAGTATTTCTTTCATCTTTACCCTTATAGAGCTCAGCACATTTTTGTCCCCAACTGTTCTAATCTATATATTTCTTTCATGCCGTTAACTGTTTAATTACTCCTCCTCCTTCTTTTGTTTCGTACAAGGTCAGACCAAAAACTCTTGCATTTTTTGGTGACTTCATAAAATCAGAGAGAATAAAAACCCCAACCCTTCTTCCGCTGTGTTTTTCTTTCTTTTTCCTCTTTTATTTATTCAGCAAAAAAAACTTATTCACAATTTAAATACAAGACTACTCACTGTCATGTTAGTTCCGCGAAAAGTCCGGAATATGTTGTTCACCATCAAATGTCACCATTTTCGATGTCGTTGGAATTCATTACACCAAAAAAAGAAAAGAAAAGTGAACTGAAAGGAATCATGAGAAAGCAACTTTTTCATAATGCAGCATTTCTGAAGTGTACTTACCGCATGTAAGAGAAAAAAAAAGCTCGCACCATCAATTCAGATCTTATAAAGGATAGTGCTGTTAAGTGAGCAATTAAGTACTGGGTAATAAGAGATGATATTCGCCAGGACAAAACATTTAAACCTGTGGCCACAAAAGCGAAAAAAATCAAAAAATCAAAATGGAGTGTCGGACACCTACATTTTATATCTTGCTTCCGATGTCGCCGAAAAAACAATAATCCGAACACTGCTATAAGGCCCAGAATGAAAATGGCAAGTAGCACTATCACAATAACCACCACGTTGGGCTTGGTAACATCGACATCTTTTCCCAGTGGAGATTCATTGTTTGTATTCCAGGACGTTATCCCTTTTAAAAATTAAAAACAATTAAACCCTTTAATGAAATTATTAAATATAGCTATCGTATCGTTATTAGAAAGATAAAAAAAAGTGATAAAAAAGTGGAATTGCAGTACAATATTGTTTAATGTTAAAACCTTTTTTCGAAAACTCTGTCCATTGGAATGCTATTGGGATGAATTATCGAGTATACACAAAATGCTTTAATAATAATGATTCAATGAATGCTGATAATTTTTCCATGATTGAAGGCACTAGACATATAAGACGTGAACAAACATCACACGAAACTGACACTCCATAGATATTTTATAGATGATAGACCTACTTACACGATGAAGTTACACCTTTTGTGGAAACATAAAACGTGGATCGGTTTTGTGCTGTCGGTGATGTTTCTTTAGAATATGGAAATGTATGAGTTATCAGCGTAGTTTTGGGCATCTCCTTAATCCCTGAAGTTTCTAATACTTGGGATCCAGTGGTGGATCCTGCAGTAAAAGGCGTAAAGAAGAGTAAAAGTATTAATCCACCCACTATTTAGCATTCTCTAATTATCAACTTATTTCTTCCTATTTTCCATATAGTTACCTGTTACAAGATGAATCGTATATTTTACT